TAACATCCTGGTTATTAACACTATGGTGCCTCATCATCCAGTTCATTTACAGTTTTGTTTGTTTATGTTCAGGTTATTGATACTTTGATGAATTAATATCCCGGTTTGTTGTGTTGTTGTTCTGTTGTTGATCTGTTGATTGGTTCATATCCAGGTAATTCTTAGTTTGATGGGTTAATATCCAGATTACTGACAGTTTTGTGTGTCATTATGGAGGCTTTATCCAGGTGATTGTCAATTTGTGTGTCAGTATTAAGGTTGTTGATGCTTTTGTACAGTATGATCCAGTTTCTGCTGTGTGTTGATTCCACCACGAGTCCACAGTTTATACTCTGACTGATGATAACGGCTTAAAAGTTCTTAAATGCTGATCAGAAATTCAAACTTCTGCCCAGTGCAACTTCGCTCTCAGCTGATGCAAAACCCCGCAGAGGCTGCTGATGTTGCATCCAGAGGTTGTCCGAGTGTGTCAACACGTCCGTCCCTGAGGTGTCTTTACATCAGCCACAGTTTCCACTAATTACAGCAGCAACCAGAGAGACCAATCAGCCTAGTGGACCTCAGCACCGGTTCCGCTGGTCCACAGAGGACTGCTAATGACCTCCCCTCGGACGCCTCGCCGTGGACAAACATGTTGTCCAGCTTCCTCACTGAATGATGACATTAGCTGCTGAAGAAAGTCGCTCCAAAGTTTTCTGCTGAGTTTTGAAGAGTGTTGGTTTCATCAGCAGCTCTGACAAGTAAAAACACTAAAAACACAAACCTCATGAACCTGCAGGAGGCCGATGCGACCCGTAGAGTTCCACGTGGTCAAGTTTCTCTTCTGCTTGGCGCCAGTTTGAGCTTTTCTTTATGATTGAACCATCTTCTCATCGTTCCTCACGGTGGCTCATTTTTCACTGCAGTCTGACGTCCTGCAGCTCCGTGGAACCAGAGCGACCATGAAGGAGGAGGCGTCCTGAGCACCACACAGCTGGAGCATCATACATCACAGAAACACGTAAAAGTCGAATACATCTTTTTATTTTACAAAAAATGAAAAAAAAAACTGGAATCAACATCTGCTACATTTTGCCCACAAGTTTTATCAGAACCGGAGAAGTCGTGGCTCAACCTGCTGCAGATATTTGACATGTTCTGTAGTAAATACTTAAATGTCTTCAGGAAGATTTCACCAGATGAACTGCCAGTGGTGGTGACCACATCTTTACCAGCACTGGAGGAACAATGGTGGCTCGACATGCTACAGATACTTAACGTTTGGTCTTAATTAGTTTCCAGACTTTTCTGTGGAAACACTGCTCACCTGAAACTTTCACCGGTTTTGTCACGTGATGTGTTTTTCACACAATCTGGGTAATTTCGGTAGCTTTCTTTTTTTTTGCAATATGAAGTGATTTTTATGAAATATCCAGATTTTAAGCGTAGATTTGGTTTAGTTCTCCGACTAATGGTTTCTGTTTTTACAGTCTCTGGCTGTGAAATGGTGTCACCATGGCAATAACATACCTGTCAACCCTGTAGTGGGTTTGAGGGTTCAGAGGGTTAAAAGACAGGAGGACTTTCACAAATGGTTAGTGAGGCCTTTAGAAGCCTTCATCAGGACCCCTTCAAAGACCCCCAATGCTTCTGAGAAACCTTGAATTTTACGTTGGGGTTCCATCAATTTTCATATTCAGGTTTTTTGTTGGTTAATATCCAGATTATTGATGCTTTTATGCCTCAATGTCCAGGTTTCTTCAGGCTGTTGTGCATTATTATCCTGTTTATTGACGCTTTGAGCCTTAACGTCCAGATTATTAACCCATTGGTGTGTTAATATCCCATTTATTGCCATTTTATCTGTTAATAATCAGATTATTTACACTTTTCTGCTGTAATATCCAGGTTTTTGAAACTTTTGTTGGTTAATATCCAGATTATTGACGCTTTTATGCCTTAACATCCAGGTTTCTTCAGGCTTTTGTGCCTTAATGTCCAGATTATTAACCCGTTGGAGGTTTTTGACACTTTTGTTTGTGTTGTGTTTGACTTTTGAATGTTGTGGATGTGTGAGGTGGTTTTCGGTGCGACCCAGAGCATTGTGGGGGTTTAGCTCACCACGACAGAGACTTTTAGGGATTAATGGCTTCCAGCCGGCGGTCTTGTGTAGAAAAGCCCAACTTTTCCAGCATAGTGTGTTTCTAGTCATGTGGCTAATGTCACTGATAATCGTTAATCAGCAGAGGGATAAACGTCCACCGTGTTTAGCTCATTTTAACGATTCATCAGTTATTTATTGGTAACTACGGGTTACTTTCTATGTTTTACTGGTTATTATCTCAGGTGTCCATGACTGTTAGATCACTTTGTGCTTTCTTAGTGTTTTGATCCCCACATCGACGGTTTCCTGTATTTACACCGTTCAGTCATTATTTAGGAAACTTATTCCGACTGTCTGCGTCGAGCTCGCCGCTTGTTGTGACTCTAAACGCGCTGACAATCGGATGTTAACTTTCTTTTTTGACCATCAAACGACATTTCACGCTGCTTCCTCTGAGGTCAGCCGAACTCTCTGGTACCGCACGACACTGAACTTTAGCCAAACCCGCACCGGTTGGACGCTCATGAGGAAGGGGGCGTGGCCTCAGCCGGCGGACGTCAATCTCTGCCTGTCCGTCGGCGCTTCAGGTGTATAAGAGCTGCAGCAGCTCGGAGGGTTTCCAGCTGCTCAGTGGCTCCTGAAGGTTCCTCCTGCAGGACTTCTTGTTGATGTTGTTCCATTTAAACTCACTGCAGCTCTCGTTGAATCACCGACGAACTCGAGTGTCGTCGTTGTGGCTCTGACTGGTTCACCCTGATGATTCATGTTGGTTGAAACTCTGAATGATGTCTGATAACGCATCTATTTCTGCTGTTTATTGTGCTGTAATTTCTGATTGTTTTTCTGAAGCTTTGACGACACGACTGCATCCGGTTTTTCACTTCTAACTGCGCCGACGTGTCTTCGTTGCAGCCACAGTTTGACTCTGCAGGTTTCTGGTGTAAAACCCTGAATGTTGAAGGTGTTGCTGTGTTTGCTCTGAGCTGTGTGTCGCTCTGCTGAATCTCTTGACGGTTGCAGCTTCGTTGTGACTCGGATTCTGTGAACACTGGTTTTCCTCAGAGAAACAAAATTCCTATTTCGCCAACAAAACATTCTGACACCGAGAAATGTGCAGAGAGTAAGCCCCTGAAGGCTTTCATGTCCTGGTTATTGTCACTTTTGTACATGAATAATCGAGTTATTGTCACTGTTGTGGGTTAATATCCTGGTTATTGACCTTTTTATGAATCTATATCCAGGGTTTTGTATGTTTTGTGGGTGAATATCCAGGTTCTTGACACTTTATGGGTTAAACTCTGTTCTGCTTTTTCTTAAATCTGAGCTGAATTCACAGTAACGATCAAATGATGATAAAAATGTGTCCTGAAAATGGTCAAATCAGATGTTTGCTTGATCTTGAATGATTTTTTTAATTTTATTTTTCAATGAACGGGATCAGAAAACATGCAAAAGTCCGATCATGTTGCGTCTCAGATGGCTGATGGTGACGGTTTGGTTCATATTTGCAGCTGAAATGACTTTTATTTCAGATATTATTATATTATTTTCAGTTATTTGACAGCGGAGCTTTTTAGGTGTTTAGCAGGACGTTGTTCCAGAGTTTTCGGTGTAGAATCTGATTCCTGCTCTGCTCTGTGAGGATCTGCTGAAGGTTTGACTTTTTCCCTGCTGCCACGATGAAGCGTTTCTCTGCAGCTCGTTGAACGCCCTCATGGAGAACAACACCGACATCGTGTTCGTGCTTCAGGGTCTGAACGGGTCGCTGACCGACCGTCAGATCTACTTCGCCTTCGCTCTGATGTCGTACAGCTTCACCCTGTTTGTGAACGTGACGCTCATCGTCACCGTGTGCCTCGACAAAACGCTCCACGAGCCCATCTACATCTTCGTGTGCAACCTGTGTTTCAACGGGATCTGCGGCGCTTCGTGTTTCTACCCGAAGCTGCTCCACGACCTCCTGGCCGACTCCCACGTCATCACCTACGTCGGCTGCCTCACCCAGATGGTCGCCAGCTACAGCTACGCCTTCTGCGAGTTCACCAGTCTGACCGTCATGGCGTTCGACCGCTACGTGGCCATCTGCCGCCCGCTGCAGTACCGAGCGCTGATGACGGTGCAGAAGGTGGCTCAGCTGCTGCTGCTCACCTGGTGCTTCTCCATGGCCGAGGCCATCGTGGGCATCACCCTGACCTCCAGGCTGCCTCTCTGCGGGCGAAACATCCCGAAGATCTTCTGCACCAACTGGGAGGTGGTGAAGCTGTCGTGCACCGACACGACGGTCAACAACATCTACGGCTTCCTGCTGACGGTCTCCCACGTGCTGCAGACGGTTCTCATCTTGGTTTCTTACGCCCACCTGGTCCGAGCCGCCATCCGATCTCAATCCGACCGCCGGAAGTTCGTCCAGACGTGTTTGCCGCACCTGGTGACGCTGCTGATCTTCACCGTCTCGCTCGTGTTCGACACCATGTACTCCCGTTACGGCGGCGGCAGCGTGATGACGGAGCTGAGGAACGCTCTGGCTGCCGAGTTCCTGGTGGTTCCTCCTCTGATCAACCCCGTCATCTACGGCATGAACCTGCACCAGATCAGGTCCAGGATCGTCCACATGTTCAGCCACAGACCGGAGGCCCCCAAGTGAAGGAAAAACAAACATCATCAAGCACTTCGATGAGAAACCATCGATTCTGAAGATTGATGTCCTGAAACGCTTCTAGTGACTGTTGGAGGCTGATGTGAATGAAAACCAACCTGCTTTCTAAAATGTGGTTCTTGCTGCTCGTTCTTTGAGATGAAGATCTGATAAAGACGTTGGAAGCCCCATTAGTTCCATGAAAATATGTAAATAACTGAGATTGTTCGGTTCAAACATTTTCATATTTTACAGAATATATCTGAACTTATTTAGCAAAACTAAACAATAAACATTAAGACAGTTATTACTAACATTAATTATAATCACTTTACTAATTAGTTGCCTGAACCCACCAACGTCTGGCACAGTTACAGAAACACACTCACATCATATTATTGGTTGAAATACAAACACTAATATTGTTCATTTCACGCTGACATGTTGCAGTTTGTAAACAAGAAAAAACTACAAAAGAATCCCTTTTTGTTTTAATTAAAAACAAATAATCAAACTATGTACGTGTGTCTTCTCATGGTCTGAGTTTACAAAACTCAATAATCAATTCACTACAAACGTGATTAAATCAAACGTAGTGTCTTTGGATCGTTATCAACGCCAGATAAAATGATTATTTCTGCTGTTGGTATAAATTATTTTATATTCTGAGTGTCTCTGCACCACTAGTGTAGTTTAATGAGGTCACAGCTGTGATAGTTCAAGAGTAAAACTGTAATTTTAGAAGAAATGTTCGTAAAAATCATAAAATGCCAACAATTTATAATAATTTTACCCAAGAAAAGTTGTAACAGATGGAGAATAAAGTTGTACTTTTTCAAGTTTTCCAGTCAGTTCATAAAGGAAACGTGTGAATAGAAATGTAAGTTGTAATATATATTTTTTTAAATTAATAAGGTCAAAATTGGAACTTAATTTTCATGTAAATTATGAGAAAAGTTGTAATATGTCAAAATAAATAAAGATCTAAATCTGCAAGACAAATTTGATGTCAAGGAGAAATCAAATAACTAAATTTACCCCAAAAAACTGCAATAGTTTGAGAATAAAGTAATTTCATAAGACAACAAATTAATATTAAACCAGCAGAGGGAAGAAAATTTAAGAATAACAATGTTTGATGAAAACTGAGCCACAACCAGAAATATGCAGAATCTGGAGACGAAAGAAAATGAGATAAAAAAACAAACACGTCATGTTGAGAGAAAACAAAGTGATTTATTGACATTTGGAGAGAAAAAAAAAATCAGGATTTTACAAGAAGTAAAGCTGCAGGTTTGAAACAGAACCAACTGATGTGCGTTTAACTGTCCGAGCGTCGGACTCCGTCTCCTCCTCCCGTGTGATTAAATATGTTCTCGTTTGTTGGTTTGTTCAGCTGAAAGCGAAACAAAAAAGTTTTCTGTCGTTTTGTTTCAGATCGTCGGAGAACCACATCAGCAGTCTGGAGGTCTGCTCACCAAACCCAGAAGCAAAACACAAGAACAGCAACAGCAGCTTGAAGGGAAGGCGTGGAGTCGGGTGAGTCTTCAACGACAACAACAACAACAACAACTACAACAACAACATCATGTGACACCGGAAACAGCAGCTGCTCCTCCGCAAACATCTCTCAGCTCTCCGAGTAGAAAAATAAATAACTTTCACGCAACATTCGGCGAAACATCCAAACACAAAGAAAGAAAACGAGCTCAGGCCTGTTTGGTTAAAGGGTCGCGTCGAGGTTCACTCCAAGTACGGAAGTCCATCAATGACAAAAGTGTGGAGACGAGAAAACAGACCGACCCTCTGAACTTCGCTACGTCACGTTTTTCTTCTGCAATATAAAGTCCTGCACCAGCATTGTGAACTTCTGAATTGTACGAAAAATGAAAAGAAAACTGGAATCAATGGGTTCAGCGTCTCGCACAGCCTGCAGTTCAGCGGAAACATCCCTGATTTTTAGTCACGTGACCGTCGGCCACAGCAGAGTCGCCGACATCTTCACGGTTGTGCTGAAAACGGCAGAATTATTTATTTTTTACAGAATCCGATTCAAACAAACGGCTGATTTTTTAAATATATTTTTTTAAGTCATTTTAATTTTAGAGTTTTTTTTCCAGCAGACTGACAAATTATTAGTTCAAGGACCATCAGACATTAGTGTTTTTACAGTTTCTGGCTGATAAATGGTGTTATTTGGTGATTTTTTTTTCCATAAGTCGCCTTTCAAACCCGCCGGCAGGTTTTGGGGTTCAGAGGGTTAAATGTGAGGCCTGAAGGATTCATAGCTGCAACCAACTCGTAAACTTGTCAATCAACTCGAAGCTGTAAACGGAAAATAGTTTCTGCTCAGTAAATGTCAGAAAAATGTTAGAAATGAGTCCGAACGACACTCAAAACCCTCGAAACCGAAGCTTAGATTAACTTGAGATGCTGTCACAGTCGAGAACCGCAAAACGGAAAATGTGTTTTTTCCTCCACAAAGACTTAATTATTAAAACAGTTTGTTTTCTTTTAACAGCATGTGAGGACCAGATCATACGGCTCATAGATGCTGCTGTCGCTATGAGTTAATGTGGTTTCTAACACTCAGCTTCACTTCAGGACCAAAAAGGTTTTGTTGTTTTGGTTTTAGTGTTTAATAAAGGAGAAGAATGTGAATAAATCATCTTTTGCTACGAAGCGTCCTGAGGAACTGAAGCAGCTTTTAAAGGCCGACTTTCACTTTTACACGAGTCACGGTCCAGAAAACAAAAAACAAAAACAAAAACAGCTTTTAGTTAATTTCCACAGCAGCTGTTACCACAAACCAAAATATTCTCCATCATTCCAGCAAAACGTTTCATCGTCACTACAAACCAGCTTTTTTAACGATGAAATACTGAATAATTTGCGTTTCATTTCTTTTGTGTTTTGCAGCTAATTCTTGACTTTATTGTCGACTATCTGCAGGTTTTTTTTGCGGCTGGTTAGTGAGCATCAGAAAACGCCGTCACAGCATCTTTACGTCCAAACAACATTGAAAACCTGAAAACTTTGGATTTACAGCATTTTGCAACAAAAAGAAACTTAAACCAGCATGTTCTGTGTTTTATTCTCTAAAAATAAGTTTTACTAAACCAGCTGCAGGTAAATTTTTCTCTCAGCAAACTAATCGATGAAGAATAATTTGGTTTGTCGTAAAAGGAGGAAAACTTAAACGTGCTGTTTTGGCACCAACAGGCTGCCGTACTGAAATGATTTTTTGTCGTTAATGGACTTCCATAAAGTAATTCAATTCAAGTCTGTTGGCAGGTGAAGGTGTTCCTTTGTCATTTTCAGCCATTCAGGTCGTTTCTTCTCGACCTGAACCTGAAGAATCGCTCTTTGGTCGGCTTCAGCTCAGAAACTAACAACTGATCTAAGGATTATCTTTTACTGATCCAGCCCAAACTGGCCCCTAAGTCCGACTCCGCAGAGTGAAGCGGCTGCTGATTCGTCTACAGACACGACAGGATGTGATGTCACCGACAGGAAGCGGGTACGAGGAGGCGGGGCTTAGGCGAGACGGGGCACCAGGTTGTTCTTCTCGGGTTCCAGGAACTCGTCCAGCAGAGCGGCCGTGACCTTCTGAAGCTCCTCCTCCAGCTGACGGACCTCGCTGCAGCAGAGACAGAGTGGTGATGTCAGCGAGGCCACGCCCACACGCCGTGATGTCATACACACGAAGGGATTTTACAACAGTGACACAACAGGTGGATCAGCTGACCTTTTCCCCGGCGCGGCACAGAACTCGGTGTAGTATTTGATCTTTGGTTCGGTGCCGCTCGTCCTCAGTGTCGCCACGACGCCGTTCTGCAAAGTGAAGGTGATCATCTGACTGCTCCTCGACACGGGAAGAACCTGCACAGGTAAACACACCTGGTTCAGAAGGTCTGAACCCACAGAGCCCTGATCCAAAAGGACTCCGATAACAGTCCACAACCAACCTGAACAGAACATGTATTTAAAAAAGCAAACAAACATCTAAAACCAACCCAAAGCCAGTCTGTAATGAAGTCCAGTACCACCCTCAGAACCAATCCAAAGCCAACATAACAGGTATAAACCAGTCCAAAACCAGTTAAAACAAAGTCCAAAGTCACTTCGATAACAGTCCACAACCAACCTGAACAGAATATGTATTTAAAAAATTAAACAAATACCCAAAACTAGCATAAAACCAACTAAAGCACTGGTCCAAAGCTAGTTAAAAAACCCATCTAAAACCACCCAAAAACCAATGAACAAACCGTCCAAACCTCGCTCTAAACAAAGAAACTAAAGAGCACTCTAAAACAAAGTCCAACGTGTATCCAAATCCGCTGAAGAGCAATCCAAAATCAACTCAAACCAACTAAAGCACTGGTCCAAAACCAGTTAAAAAACATCTAAAACCAACCCAAAACCAGTCTGTAATGAAGTCCAGCACCACCCTCAAAACCAATCCAAAGCCAACATTACAGGTCCAAAACAGTTCAAAACCAGTCGACAGCAAAGTAGAAAAATCCGCTGAAAAACAATCCAAACCGACTTAAAACCAAGTTAGAAACTAGTCCAAATCAAAGTCTGAAACCAGTCCAGAACGTGACCAAAAATAAGGTTCAGAAACAATCTAAAACAATCTACGACCAGCCTAAAACCGAGGGAAGAAAACGGTCTAAAACTGGTCCAAAACCAAGTCCAGAACCATCCTCGAAACAACTTTAAAACCAAGTTAAAACCAGCTGATAACAAGAATAAAACTAGCCTGAAACAAAGTCCGAAATGTGTCCAAAACTGGTCCAACACCAGTTTTAAACAGAGTTAAAACTCGCCCACATCAAAATCCAGAACTAGTCCAAAACATGTATAAATGCAAAGCTCATAAACGATCCAAATCACCCTAAAACCAGCTCTAAACCAGTTCAGAACCAGTTCAAAACCAGCTCTAAACCAGTTCTAAAACGAGCTTTAAACCAAGTGAAAACACCCAAAACATGTTCAAATACTACGTCCAGATCCAAAAGATGCCTGAAACAAAGTCCAGAACCACCTCCACATCATAGACACTGATCCGATTCAGGTTTTTCTTTTTACTGCACTTCAACAGAATTCACTTTATTTACATTTTCTGTATTTTTGCTGCAAACAAAATCTGAAGCAGCTCCGAGCCGTTTGTTCCCGATTATGAGGCGAAGAAACAAACTCTGAGCTGCTGCAGTTATGAAGGAATGAACATTTTTCACTCTTGTTGGATCGGCGTTGAGTCGAAGTGTGTTTGGCTGCTGCTCTTACAGACGTGAGGTCGGGCCGGCTGCTGTCGTATCCCGTAGTGACGTCTCTGACGTGGACGATCTGGACGCCGCCGCACGACTTCGGGTACGAACCGTCGCCGTCGAAGTTTCTGATGCGACTGAAGATCTTCTGGATGGTGGGAGGGTCATTGCAGACGACGTACGAGGTCTTAGCAACGTGGTAGCCGTACCTGGAGACAGGAAGTCACAGCAGGGATGACCGCCAAAATAAGAGGAGGAAACATTTTCACAACAACAAAGATTAAGTAGAAATTATCCAAACATCTGAAAAGATGATTAAAGTTTGTGTCACTTCAGACAGAGTTCAGGAAACATGAGGCTACTCAGGTGTTATTTGGGATCCAAAGGAAGTTTTGTATAGAAGAATTTTGTATTTTCACCCTCAAAAGAACTGGAGAATCCAGTTAAAGGGTTCGATATCTCCAGAAATAAAACTCCCACAGCCATTAAACTAGGAGAGGACACAAACAAAATAGTTTCCAGCAAATCTAAATGATTAAATAGCTCCAAGTGTTTTATTTCCATTTCTGTGCATTGGTGCAGCAACACGGCAATCTGAGATTACACCAATTAGGATTAATTAATACAAAAACCCACAGCTTTTTTTATATATATATATATATTTCCCCCCCAAAAGGTAAAATTAAATCCAGTTTTCTGATCCCATCTGTCCAACATGATAAAATGCTTCCCAAGTCATGATAATATTTGTTATTCTTTTAAATTTAATCACAGTTTAGATGCACAATTTAATAAAAACTCTCAGGAATTTCATTGGCTTTCAGTATCTCTTTTGAAATAGAGTAAATATGGTCTTTTGTTGGTTTCATTGTTTGTTAAGTTATCATTAAATTCCATCAGAGTTTCTCTGCTGCGTCGAATTAAACAGAAACTGATGTTCAAAGCCAATATATCAAAATCATTGACTATGAAAAGCCAAAGGACGTCAAAACTTGTGTGTCTGCTGCCCTCTGCTGGTAGAAGCTTTAAAAATCTGCAGGAGAATATTGTTGATTTTAATTTAACTTGCAAATTTTGAATGAATCTAACAATACACGGCAGATTTTAGATATTAAACGAACATTAAATGTAACTGAAGCTCTTAATTAAATTCACGCTTTACTCTAAAGATCATCTTTACTTGTTTTGTGTTGTTGACGTACAGAAATCAGAGAGAACGCTTCACTTTCTTCTGCTGTAGATTTACTTTCATGTGAAGAAAACTGATATTTAAATTTAGATTTTTTAAAAACATTTGTAAAACTTTCTCATAATGTTTTCACTTTTGCCTTTTTAGTGCACAACAGCTGACAATTTGCAGTTTTATTCATTTAAATCAGATCTAATCAACAGTAAAGTGAGCTGACTTCTCTACATATGTACATTTACGTATACGTTTTTTTTCAAAGGTACCACCCGTCAGGACGTTCACATTTGACGCGTCAGAACCTTTGGAGACCCGTACGATGAGCTTACGTCTGGTAGATGTTGTGCAGCTGTTGGCTCAGAGTCAGGTTCTTGTTGTGGAGGTAAGCGGCCATTTCAGCCACGACCACCGCCGAGCTCACGCCGTCTTTCTCTGGAACCATGTTGCCGCACAGGAAGCCTGAAGAAACCACCAAACAGAGGTTTACTTCACTCTGGTCGGCGGCGTTTTACGTGTTCCGAGCAGTAAAGTAATGAACTCTGTTACCGATCGACTCCTCGAAGGCGAATATGACTCTGTTTCCTGTTTTGGAAAGTTCATGGATCTTGTTGCCGATCCACTTGAACCCAGGAAGAGTTTCCTGTTGGGCAGAAACAGACGTCAGACCATCGTCATGTACACTTCAACAGACAGAAAACTAAAAAAACACGTAACCAGATTAGTCGTGTTCGTTAATATCTGACGATGTGTTCCTAGATGTGATCGTCGGACCTCGAAGCGGAAGCCCTCGATGCGAGCGAAGGCCTGCAGGATCTTGGAGGAGACGGTGGTGGCCAACATGTAAACGTTCTGAGTGTCCGTTGGGTCAGGATGACTCTCCTTCCAGTTGAAGAACATCCACCAACCCAACAGGGCTCCCAGCTCGTTCCCTGTGAACACCTTCCAACCACACCTGCAGCACAGGTACATGCAGGTAAACTACACTTATAACACTTTCAACACATGTGAATACAGGCAGACTACAAGTAAAACGCCAGAAGATACATGCAAATACACAGGAAACAAAGGCAGACACGTGCACACACCTATATGATAGGTAGTTACAGGTAAACTGCACCTGCAACACCCCTAAAAGTAAATACAGGTGAACCTCATAACCAGGAAATGAACTGTTGAACATGTCTACAGGTAAACTACACCTGTAGTATACATTTTAGCTGAAGTGCCTTTGAGCAAACAGCAGTTACCCGTCAGACTTCTCTGCCACGGCCAAACGGTCAGCATCAGGATCCGTCGCCAGAACGATCCGAGCGTTCTCCTTCTCCGCCAGAAGAAGAGAAAGCTCCTGGAGAACAAAACAACAGATTACTTCATGAGAAAATCATTGAATTCGTGAAGTAACTCTTCAGGAGTTTGTCCTACCAGGACGGACTCTCCCTCCTCAGGATTTGGGCAGCGTAAGGAGGAGAAGTTGGGGTCGGGGTCTTTCTGCTCGGGGACGGGGATGGGAGGAGCGAAGCCGAACACCCGGAAGGCCTGCTGGACGAAGTCGTGTCCGACGCCGTGGAAGGACGAGTGGACAAACTTCAATGGACAGCTGCTGTTCAGACCCCTGGAGACACATCAGGTATCGTTACTGTTCATTCACATGTTCAGTATTTTAGTTTAGTTACATCCAATGACAACAAGGCAGCAGCAGTTCCAGGAGTAGAGGGACCAACTCTTCACATCCCTAGATCAGCTCCAAAACATAGGCTAGACCAGGTAGACCAACTCCAGTAGTTACTAGTTACAGAGGCAAAGGGACTAGACCACCGCTACAAGTAGGGGGACTGGATACAGAGGTAGGAGAACTGGCTCCAGATGTCCCTCTACCAGCCCTGGAGGTAGCAGATCCAGATATAGCAAGACTGCTACTAAAAGTCCAGGAACCAGCTGTGGAGGTAAAGGAACTGAATAGGTCCCTGGAGCAGATCCAGATGTGGGACTTGATTCAGAGGTAGGGTACTGGCTGCAGGTGTGCCTAGGACTGCCCTGGAAGTAGGTGTCTAGATTCAAAGGTGAAGGAACTGGCTCCAGAGGTAAAGGGAATAGCTTTATAGGTCCATGGATGGGTTCTGGATGTAGTGAGACTAAATTCAGAGATAGAAGAACCGGCTGCGTAGGTCCATGGATCAGCTTCAGCGGTAAATGGAACTGTCCACAGAGGTCCCCTGGTCAAGTCCTTATGTAGGAGAACTAGATTTAAATATAGAGATGCTGGATTCAGAGGTTTCCTGGACCAGCGCTAGAGGTAGCAGGACCACTTCCAGAGGTAGGGAACTGGTGGAAGATGTCGCTCAACCAGGCCTGGAGGTAGGTCTCTAGATTCAGAGGTGGAGGAACTGGTACCAGAGGTCCAGAGGCTACCTGCACGGGTAAAGGGACTGTCTTCATGGTTTTCTGGACCAGACCCAAAAGGTAGAGACTAGATGTCGAGGCAGAGGGACAAGCTCCAGATGTTCCAGGACCAACTGCAGAGGTCTGGTGATATGCGCATGAGCTCCAGAGAGGAGTAAGTTCCAGTTGTTGAGAGCATGAGAGCATGGATGAAAAGCACCTGGATGACCACCTAACTGAGAAAGAAACGAATCCCTCTGATGTTGTACAGGCTGAATCTACAGAACCCACTGCTGCCGTGTTTAATGGGAACCATAAGGTCATTCTCAGGCCTCAGTAAAGGCGTCTCCCTCCTGAAGGGACTTGGTCTGGTCCAGGTTGAGCTTCAGGTGGAGCCTTGCCCTCCATTCTGTCACCGAGGTAAGCAGTGAGTGGGGAATACCTGTGGAAGCACAGGGAGGCGAGTTCGTCCATGTAGCAGCTGTTGATCTGGGTCAGGGGGTCGGTCCTCAGGGAGCTGTGATCCACCAGCTCCTGGTCCCAGCAGGAGGCGCTCCAGGGCTCCAGCTCCTGCTCGATGCTGCGCAGGATCTCCTTGTCATGAGGGGAGGCGATCTGAGCGCCGTTAGACCAGTACACCTGCAGAGGGAGACATTTTCCCACAGATGTTACGGATACCTGAGAAACTAGGGGCTCCATATGGTGCAGCTGCTTTCTGAGTTAACTGACGCTGAAACATGAAAACCAAATCAGGATGTCACGACGCAGCAACAAACCACGTGTCGCATGAATCTGTACCTTCAGAAATGTTGACGCCGTTTCAAACTAACCTTGTATCCGTTGTCTTCTTTAGGATTGTGTGAAGCGGTGATCATCACTCCGGCTGCTGCTCCCAGTTTCTTCACCGCGTACGGCTGGAAAGAAATGAACAAACAAAACATCAACCTGAATGATCGTCCACTGACGAAACCATCGGTGCTCCTGAACACAAGCTGAGGTCTGTATCAGGCAAACACAGCTTTCAGGTTACTAGCAGCTTTCAAGCTATAAATATGTTAAATTTTACAAGCTGCTGTAAAACAAAGTGCAAAGAAAATTATAATTTATTCTCCTAAAGTGTTTCCTTTAATTGATGGCATTAATTAATTCACAAAAAAGGGAGAAAGAGACAACAAAATGTGTCAATAATGTTAAAGAGATGTCTGAAAAATGTTACTAAAAATTCAAATCAATCTCCATAAAATGTTTGAAAACTGTAAATAAAAATTGTAACATTAAAATGTCTAAAATAAGTTAATAAAATAACTGAAAGTGTTTTTAAAATGTTTTAAAAAGTAGAATTTAAAAAATTGTTCTTAAATGTTTTAAAAATGTCCAAAAATCTTCATAAAATGTTTAAAAATACTCAGTAAAAAATTTTATAAAATTAGCTTCTAAAATCAGTTCATCAGATGTCTGAGAAATATTTATAGAAATTCTAAATCTTGATCAAATGTCCTAGTGTTTTAAAAAATAAAAATAAATCCTGATAAATAAATGAGTAAAGATTTAATCCTAAGTAAAACCAGCTGCTGCAGAGAGGAATTAACACTAAGCTACAAACGAGGCAATTATAAAGTCTAAATTATAAACTAATTAGAACTAATTAGTTTCTCACCACGTACGGCGTCGGGACGAACGAGGAGAACAGATGAACCGGAACATCTCTGCTGAGCATCACAGCCGCCGTCAGCTTCGCCAAACTGAACAACACAAAGAGAAAAAGATTTTAAAAAGTGAGTCGAACCGTTTAACGTGAGGTAGACAGAAGTAGTGAAGCGTCGTTAGATGATGCACCAGGTGGCGCCAGAGTTCATCCAACAGAAAACTGCAGTTATTTAGACTGTTGGACTCTGAGCTGATAAATTCAATAAATAGAAAATGTCTCAGAACTGTCAGCAATTAAAAAATCATAATAAACATTTTAATAAATAATTCAAAACAACGCTAATAAATTTTACAAAATTGTTTTTTAAAGAAATGTCTGACAAATGTTGATAAGAATAAATAGTTCATTATATATTAATAGAATTTTGGAAAAAGTTTGAAAAAAAATAACATTAATAAAATGTTGGAGTTTTTTTTTTCATAAATGTTGGAAAAATGTAGAAAAAAATGTAATAAAATGTCTGAAGAATGTTAAGAAAACTAAAATAAATAAATGTCATTTCATCTGTCTCAGTTTGTCATAAACCGTCTGACAGGTGCTTCTGGTTGTTACCGCTCGCTGCTGCAGCCGCTCTCCTCCTGTCCTCTGGTGTCGAACCCGACCACCAGACCTCTGCTGCTGAAGTCTGCAAAATACCTGCACAGGTACGCATACAAACCCTGCACACAGAGACAGCTCAGGTGAGACACCAGGACACCTGCACAGGTGTGTTACAGGTGTGTTAACTCGCCTGTGTGGACTGGATACTACGCTGACTAGTCTGGATGTTGTATTAACTAGTCTCGATACTGTACTAACTAGTCTGGATGTTGTACTGACTAGTCTGGATGTTGTACTAACTAGTCCGGGTGTTGTACTGACTAGTCCGGGTGTTGTACTAACTAGTCTGGATACTGTACTAACTAGTCCGGGTGTTGTACTAACTAGTCTGGGTGTTGTACTAACTAGTCCAGATGTTGTACTGACTAGTCTGGGTGTTGTACTAACTAGTCCAGATGTTGTACTGACTAGTCCAGATGTTGTACTAACTAGTCCGGGTGTTGTACTATCTAGTCTGGGTGTTGTACTAACTAGTCTCTCACCTGTGTGGACTGGATGATGGTGAGGTCATTGATCCGGTTGAAGCCGGCTCCCATCGGCGCTCTGAGTCCGGCGGTACCGAAGCTCATCCGGCTGCAGAGTCTGGACCTGAGATCCTCCAGGTGACCTGCTGCCACCAGAGAGTCCAGCTGAGCCCGAGTCCGGCGGTTCTGGAGAGAAAATCCACCACTAGTTAACTCACGGCGGCTTCACACCTGAAACAGAACCTGCAGGTAAAACCCAGTGTTTCTAAAGAGAAAACTAAGTTCTGGCTTTAGTTTGGGTTAGAAAACTGACACTCGGCGGTTCTTGGACTTTTCTGGCACGTAAAGACTAAACTTTTATAAAAATACGACCCTCCTCGTGTGTTTACATCGTGCTAGTTGAAGCTGAATAAATTCTCATCAGTTTCCTAAAAAGATGAACAAACTCTTAAATTAGGTTCTCGAACTGAAAAACAAAAACATGAAGAAAATGACTGAAAGTTTTCCAGCAGAAAATGTTTTTAAAATCAAAACAGTGTAAATAAAATATCAAAAAACTATTTAAAAATTTTGTATACTTGTGAATTTTCTAAATAAAATGACTGAAAATGTATTTAAAAGAAAAATTAAATAATAAAAAAAAAGTCATTAAAATTTTTGAAGAATGTCCAAAAAAATCTTGATAAAAATGTTGATTAAAAAAAATCTAAACAATTAAAACTGTCTTTTCAGATTTGCTTTAAACTGATAAAAATGTTGAACAATTTTAATAAAATGTCCCAAACAAAAAAAAATGGTAATAAAACCAGAAATTTGTCTTCAGCTGACGTTACAGAAATGATCAGTGACAACATTTCAGTCCCATTTATTTACAGAAGCCTGTTAGAAAAAGCTTCTGTCAGTCATAGCGCGTCCATTAATTACAGCAGAAGTGATCATACGTGTCCTCTGCTGCAGGATAAAGATAGATTCAAACACGCGAGTCTTTTCCCGGCGGCTGACATTTACAGCCGAGGTCAGAAACGTTGAAGTGACCTTTAACCAACACTCAGATGAAGTCTGGGAGGCGCGTCGATAACTTCATACTAACACACGGGAATAAAAACAAGCTGCTACATCTAAAGAGACTCTATTTGTGTTTTAGCTTAGGGGCAGCAGCGCCACCATGTGGACGGATTAAAACGCTGGTGTTAACCCTCAAACAGGCGAGTTTACAGAGTAACAGCGAAGCGTCATCAGCATACAAACTGATGTCTACCTTCATTTAGCCTGTAATAAATTAAACAAGAAGAGGCCCTAATAAGGAGCCTTGTGGGACACCGTAAGGAAAAATAAGTGCAAAAATTTGATTTACAGACTAAAATACGAAGCAGATGAGATATAAATCTGAATACGTTTGTCCTCTTCGTGCTCCGGTTCTGCCGTTAAACGGTCTGATTGATAAACACACAGAAACTCCTCATCTTTTAGCAGTTATTTCAAGTTTTTTGGATTTGTTTATATCTGAGACCACAGCTGAACATCTTTCAAAACACTGCGATACATTTTATTGAACCCACGCAGGAAACTTAAAGAAAGACGTGAACCTCCATCTTCATGCTCCGGTTCTGCCCTTAAATGAACAACACAGAAATGATTCCTCTCTTTCCATGTTTTCAAATTTGATTTATTTACATGTGAGAGCAAAGCTAAACATCAGTATTTTCAAAACAATCGGATAAACTCTGCTGACCTCACGCAGGAAAATGCACCAGCACGTTCTGTGTGGATCTGAGCATCATCCAGCTGTTTGACTGTTTATCTCAGAGCTGCTCATCATCTGATGCATGAATAAAGCTGCAGGTGGCATCACAGGCCTGTCATGCGGCAAACTGCTGAGTCATGCTGCCCTCTAATCGCACGAAAACCCACAGAGCTAATCTCCATCACGACCCAGACAGCGGCCGGCCAGCAGCGGCTCTGCACTGCGGCCAACACACACTCCGTGACCCCGGGATGCGCATCTCAGCACCGACCAGCCGCGCAGAACTCCCATTTAAAATCCGGCGATTTTTAGGTTTATCCGAGTGTGGACACGAATCGTTGAATGAAAATGCATGACTGGGCTGGTTTTCTTCGTTGGATGGATGCTGTGCTACATTCGGCGTGCAGAGTTTAAATCCAGCCGTTTTGCTTTTAAACAAATTAGCTTTAAAATGATTTTTGGAGCAGCTGCGCCAGCGATTCTCTCCCCGCAGCTCGCTTCGTAAAACAGCCCATTAAGTTCATGATAAATGACGTAAAGTTCTGCATTAGTGAGCAATTTGTGCGCCGATTCTTCCACAAGGCCTCGTTTATGTTATAAACCTTCATCATAAGCCTGTTTCTTAAACATTTCTTTCCAGGATTTAGTGTCACGTTAAAATGGTTGATTCCTAAAGGAGGTCTGGGGCAGCGGCAAACCGTTAAAGACGGGACTCAAGTTTGCCTCCTAACTAGCTAGCTGACGGACGCTCACCCGGTCCCAGGCCAACCACTGGTGCACCGCCTTGTCCAGCTGCGGGTCGCCGGTGCTCTGGCAGTCCATGTTGGCGTTCAGGTCCCCGTTGACCCGGTCGTTGTCCTCCATGCTGACGGGCTTCAGGCCGGCTAACGCTCGCTGAGCAGCCGCTGGGCCATCGCACGGCTGCCGCTGCGGTGAACTCTGCCTGGATGTCCGCCTCTAGCGCCTCAAGCCGCCGCTAAGCTGAGCGACCGTTACACCGGATGACCGCCGGAGGCCGACAGCAGCCCGTTAAATGCCCGTTAACCGGAAATATTCAGCTCCGAGGCTCCGGACTGAAGTTTGAAGGAACCGAAATACGAAAGTTCAAACTTCATCAAGTTTCTCACAGGCAGGCACGGACAACTTCCGGTCGGCTCTAAAAATAAAAGCCCTTTTTAATATATATCATGCAAATGATGCAGCGCACATTAGAGGTGGGTGTGTTTTAACCAAACCAGGTGAAATACACACATGTAGAAAATACCTTGACCCCAGAAATCAGGGGCATGCAGATACCGGCAGCGTCAACATCTGGCCTGCTGTATAATGTAGGCAGGCTGTAGGGAGGTTATAGGGGGGCAGGTACGAGTTCCACCTGCTCAGCAGCAGCGCTTCACGAGCCTCAGCACTGACCCCTCGGACCCCCTCCCTCACCGGGCTGCAGCCTCTGCATCCTGAGCACCTGCACCTTCTCCACCTCCTGCACCAGCCTGCCTCTGGGCTCCCCCCTCACTCTCACTCCCTGTTTTATAATAAAAACCACTTTTTCCACTTCCTCCTTCCATCCGGCGAGTCATCACAAGTCCGCCTCGTACTGGCCTGTGATGCAGGTCTTGGAGGATGAAATGAGAACCTGTCCAGGCAGAGGAACCCACTGAAAAGGCCTGTAGATATCTGTTAACAAATGAAGATTGTCCCTCCTGCGTACTGTACGTAGGTCACCTGGAGGAGCCAGGTGAGGTCTCTGCTGACGCCTGTTCAGTGCTGTGTGCAGCCTGTTGGACAGTGTTGTGAGCTGCTGATAGGAGTGCTTGACATACGTTAATATGTACAGGTTGTTATAAACAAATACAAATATGATACACTACTGAGTTAAAATAGTAAGTAGGTTAAAATAAGTAAGCTAAAAAAATACCACCAGTTGAAACGAGTTCAAAATGAGTCATTATAGACGATCCGAGTCCAGTTTGAACAGACGTTATTTTTTTAATAGCCTACTTTAGATTTTTTTAAAATCTTTTATTTTAACACTTTTGAACATTATTTTGTTTTTTTCTTTATCTCAATTTTTTTTCCCACAAATCAGGCAGCACGTGAGAGTCGACAGAAAACGATTTTGTTCACCTGTTTGATGCTTGAATATGGTTATTTTTTCTCCTGCTAGAAAGTTTTTTTAAAAATCCAGTGGTTCTGTTTCTAGTGTTTCTGGCTGGACAACAGCATCATGTTGGCATTTTATTAAAAAGACAATCAGCTCTTTAAACCTGCTGCTGGGTTTTAGGGTTCAACCCGAGGGTTTTTCATGTGATTTAACTGTCAATATGTGAAGAAAACAACATTTAATTAAACCCACATTTGGGTTCAGAGCTGCAGCTTCAACCAACAAACCACCAACCTGACGCTTACATGGAAACAGAAGCTGCTTTCAGAGGTAACCTGTGAATTTAAAACACACAGAAGATCAAACTGTCCATCTCAGTGTTTGTCTTGTTTAATCGTTTCAAGTCCTTCCAGGTGGCGTCTCTGCAGCGTCCTGGAGGCTCTCAGGTGCGTCGCTCAGCTGACAGTCGAACAGGTGAGCGAAGGCGTCCAGCAGCCGAGGGACGGCTTCCTCCACGCTGACGTTCCTCCGCAGCTCGGCGCTCAGCGACGTCACGCCTTTACCTTCGATGCCGCACGGAACGATGTGGTCGAACCAGGACAGGTCGGTGCTGCAGTTCAGAGCCAAACCGTGAGACGTGACGTAGCGGCCGCAGTGGATTCCTGGAGACATGACGACACCGGCGAGGGTGAGCGGTCTGACGGAGGGATTTCTGACCAACAGCTAAACTGGAATTTAAACTGAATCGACTTAATCACTCAGATGAGAGACGGAAAGCAGCTGATCAAAAACCACAACAAAGAGATTTAAAGATGCACACAACGATATAACAGAACCACATAAAGAGACAAAAACACCAACAAGAGATAAAAAGTGACAACAAACAAACACAAACAGACACAAGATGTGAACAAATGATAAATGAACAGAAAGACACACAGACGCAACACAACTACAAATGACCACAAAGCGACTAAAAATGTTCACAAATAGACCAAAAACAAACGACAAATAACCACAAATCAAGTCAGAATGACCAAAAAGACAAATGAAATGAGCCTTAATGAAGTGAAGTGATTGAAAACATGCAAACGACCACTAATGTGCTCAAAAGAACAAAACGAGACACAAGAGATAAACTCAGAGCGACCACAGTGAGGTGTGAAGGTCCAAAACACTGCACAGTGAACTGGGTTCTGGTACCGATGGCGCAGATCTTGTTGTCTCCGACCCAGACTCCGGTGTGAGGAGACGTCGAGGCTTCGACTCCAAAGCTGCTGCAGAGTCCGATGACGGTTTTCTCCAGCTGGCCGACGTACCAGCGAACGCTCTGACGGGAGAAGAACACGTTAAAACAGGCCCGGTTCCGTTAAAGCTCGCCACCCGCATCAGAACCCGTCGGGCCGACCTTCTTGAAGCTGCCCAGGTGCAGGACCGGATAGCAGACCAGCTGGCCCGGCCCGTGGAAGGTGATGAGTCCTCCTCGGTTGGTCCGGTGGACGTCGGCGCCGAGCAGGCGGAGCCGGTCCAGCAGCGGTTCCGGGTACGGTTTGTTCCGGATCCCAGTGGTGTAGACCGGCTGGTGCTGGCACAGCAGCAGAGCGTGAGCTGGACCGGACCGGTGCCGGTTCACGTAGACCTGCTGCAGCCGCAGAGCCTCCTGGTAGGACAGCAGGCCCAGACGGACCACCTCCACCACCGGCC